TGTAGGCGAGCTGTTAGGAAGGCCAAGGTGGGGGGAGGGGAGGGAGGAAGGGGTTAAACTCAGTCGGGCAGGCATTGAGCTGACTCCCTTCCCACTCTCAGGTGCGCGAGGGGTGCCCAGCACAGCCCCCCTTCACCAGTGATGGGTAGGCATCTGCCATGCACAGGTATGGGGCAGAAATGCACTAGGGGAAGGCAGGGGCACGCAGCCTTATGCAATGGGTTTCATGAGTGGGGTCTTGAACCAGTCCTCATGAACCATGAGTGGGTCCTGGGGAATGACCAAGCCAGGCCCCAGGAGCCAGAATGGGTCCTTATCAATGACATGCTGGTGCCTGTGAATTGCGAGTGGGCCCTCATGAACCATGAGCGTATCCTTGTGAATGACAAGCTGGTTCCCATGAACCAGAGCAGATCTTCATGAAGCACAAGCTGGTGCTTGCGAATCAAAGGTGGATCCTCTGGAATTACAAGCTGGTCCCTGCTAAGCCCCAAGTGTACCCTTGTGAACCCCAAGCCAGTCCCCATGCATTACAAGTGGGTCCTGAGGCTGCAGGTGGCACATACCACCCCTTCCCCTACCCCCCAGCCCCTCACCTGGCCACAGCACTGGGGGCAGGGGGGAGAGAACCTGCACTTACCGGTACCGGAAGACCTTGGTCTGGGGCATGGGCAGCTCACACGACTGGGAGCCTGGAGCCCCTGCGCACAGGAGGGCAAGAAGCAGTGCTGAGACCCCCACCATGTCCACCCTGGTGCTTCCTCTGATGCCTAGCTCGGCCTACTTTATACTTCCCCATAGGCTTGACTGAGAATTTCCAGCTGCCCCATGTTGCAATCGCTGGCGCAATTCCCTCCCCAGCCACAAATGCTTCCCCCTAAAGCTTGCCGGGAATCAGCCTGTTGGGCACCCCCTTTCCCTGGCCCTGCATGGGGCAGGCATAGCTGGGGGGGGGTGGAGCAATTGCTCCCCAGTGCCATGCCTGGGAGCCTACCTGTGGCAAATGGCAGCAGCCCTGTAGCAGCTCCTGAGTCCTCCATGCTCCTGGCCCAGCTGCCCTGGGCCCTGGGGGTATTTATAGGGCAGGGAGGCGTGGCCGGAAGGGGATGAGTCAGTTGCAGGTGACACAGAAGTGCATAGGCCCCGGCGAGGCGGGGCAGTGGAATGGGGCCTGGCTAGGGGCAAGCGGGGGGGGGGG